TGTATATATATATATATATATATTTGGAGAGCCAGTACAGCGCAGTGATCAGAGGTGGCCTGCGTCGCACACAAGGTCGATAGTTCGATCCCGCGCTAAACACAGGAACATGACTAACTTTTGAAAACTGTCTTCCCATGATGTTCACCAAATCATAACCCTTCTTAGTTTTTAGTAACATAAATAAGAACTTAGGATGCTGATGAAATGTTGTGACCCTATTACATTTCAAGCCGAAGTCTAAGCCTAAGCCTAAGCCTCAGTGCGCTCTCGTAATTTTCTGTTTGACCAAATCCATTGAATTACTCTAGCAATTGATGGAGCGACAATTCTCTACAGGGGCCGAAATCAGAGATAGAAGAAGGAACTTACCCATTAAATTGTCAAATAAGGTGCAACCTGAAGACAGTGTAGCAGCACTCGACAACTCAAACTCAAGCAGTGGACCGTTCCATCGAATTGACCTCACTAATTTTTACATGAAAGGGCACTCCGAATGAAGTTTATCGCTAGAGTGATGCTACACTGAATTCGACTGAATACGATCACACAAAGATCTATATCGCAAGAATGAATGGCTGTAAACAACTGACTCAGAATACAAAACTACTGATACATGAGTAAATCTCGTAACTTGAAGTGGCTTTGAACTTATCATCACCCTTATAAGACCTTGAGATGATGACTTTTAGTTGGATTATGTTCCTATCGCACATACGGGATGTACGCATATACAAGTTGTAAATTATGAACTGCAAAATAAAAGCTACGAAGCACATCGTTCCACACTTCGGTAAAAGTAATTTGCTTACACGACCCTTCATATTATAAGCAGTTTTTAGCAGTTCTGATATCTGATTCGCTTTCTCGCATTCACTGTCCTCAAAGACGTTCAAAATGTTGTGTGTTGTTTTGACTGCTGTTAGAGAACTTTACCTTCATTATGAAAATCGTAGATTAGTGGTCTAGTCGAATCTCTTTACAATCTAAACAATACGCTGCCATAGACGCTTCTCAGCGGAACTTGTGCATTGTTTCTGCAAGTCGAAAGCTGTTTTCAGATTTTCTCTTAAGAGTGCACTTGTGATTTCGGTGTTATGTCGATTGTGTCTTTTTTCCAAAAAAGTCATTAATTCATCTTGCAGCATCGAGAATGAAGGGGCGGGATGTGAAATCAAATTACGCTACTTGAGAAAATGGCGTATTATTTAAAAAATTGTTGACTCGAGTCGTCGAGCGTTGGCAGTGCAACGGTTCAGCAAGCGTTCCCGGAAAGAGTGAGATCGGGGTTCGAATCCCGGCTGACGCTTAGTACCCTATACTATGAGTAGACGACGCCGAACAAACCGTCCATCAATTGAAATTGAATGGGCAGTGTTGTGCACTCAATTGCTCTTGGCTGGTATCGTGAAATTATCGTTCGTTTCGAATGTTCTCTTAAGATTCTATGTGCCTAATAGTTATTTTGAACCACGGTTGAAACTCGTATATCGTGCTCTGTAAGTTGTCCTTTAACAGACCACATGCATAGCTCAAAAAGCTATCATCGGGCACATTGAAATTTGGGTGTGGTCTTAAGAAAACACTCGAAGCGATAAATAGACAAACAGTTTCGCTATACTGTTCTACCTGCACTTTCACTGCGTCATCAGTAGAGAACGCATGTAATCTGAAATTCAATTCATTATATGCTGCGCTGCTTTTACATAGGTTAGAGGGCGAATGCTATTGTCGCCCAGTGATAAAACATCGGAATCGTGGGCAGTTTTTCTTTGCAAGGCTTAGCATTATCTGCTTTGTGGTGTTGTTTTAAGTGAAATTTTAAAATTGTCTCAAAAACCTAGGATACTAATTGAGTTAAATCTGTCGCTTTTCAAGAAAACTAAGTCCTGGACTTTTGGGATGGAATTGCATTCCACACTATTTTCTTGAACACGATGAAAATGGGTGGAAATTGCTATTCCACACAGACACTATTGGTATGAGACTTCCATAGTGATGGAAATGTATTTCAAAATAGTTTTGTGAGACTGACCATCGGTTTTCTCTCATGCAAGACGTGGAAGTTTTCTTGCTGGAGAACAGCCGTCAGCAAAAAGCGCTTCATAGTCCCAAATCCAATCCAGCGTATGCTGCACTGTTTTATACGAAAATCGTAGATTAGTGGTCTAGTCGAATCTCTTTACAATCTAGAAGATAGCTGAACTAAGCCGTACTCGCTTGACTGAAATACAGTGAGTGAGGTAGTTGAGCCAGTTTCCTTCTTTCTGATGAAATGCTTTGCTGACCGTTTGAACATAGCGAAAAACGAGTACATCCAAAAATGATCGCACTGTTGGTAAAAGTTCAGTTACTCTGAGAAAGTTTTCTCATTAACAATAAGACTCTTTTGCAAGAATTCTAACGGGAAAAAAGTTAGCTGCTTAACGAATTGCCAATCTGTAAAAATCTTCAAAATGTCTCCCAGACAAACTATTCATCCTATGCTGTAGCCCTTCAAAGCCTATTTTGAGAGTTCCGCCGAAATGGGCTCCTTCTAATTAGGAGGGTGGTGATAGACAAAGCACTTGCTCAGCTGAATTTTTGTCATCTCTCTCTCCTGTTATCTGATTTTACTGTGTTGCACTACACTATGAGATAGCGGGAAGCAACAACAGGTAAAAGCAACAGGAGAATTATGTTCATAAAAAGGCACGTGTTGACATTACAAAAATTATCTACCTGAGCTTCAAAAGTGAATAGAAAAAGTGATAGCAGAGCGGTGGCTTCGATGGGACAGGGATAGCGATCCCGATATGGATGAAGGGTGTGTTCAACTTTCTTAAGAATAATTTTTTTGCATAACACTCAGCATTCGTGGACATGCTATTACAGCATCATAACACTACGATAAAAGCAGTCGATTGAGAAAATCTTGCTATTTTATTACGTTTAACAGGGATTTGTGAAATAGGACAGAATTTCTTAAGTGCGTTCGATACATGCCATTTTATCAACTTTATCATGTCATGTAATGTGAACCACTGCCTTTTTAATGTGCCAGCTCTCATTGCTTCTAGCATTCGATTTGTCTCCTCGCTTGCTGAGGGTTTCATCGTTTTCACAAATGTCGTAAATAAAAAGACGACATCCTCTGGCCAGCAACTAGCAGCACTCTCGAAAAACCATTCAAACGTCATGAAGAGTTTGGAAGCTATATCAAAATTCAAGAAAAATTGGCAGAGGTTGAAACTGTTGCATTGTTAGAATTAGAGTTGAACTTGTACGAGCGAGGTGCTAATAATGAAGTGCTTGCTCATTTAAGATGTTCCAATTCTGTTTAACAGAAATGTTTCTGCAAGCGGCCTAGGCATTAGGTTCAGGATCTGTATACTATGGGTTGGAATTCATATATAAAATTGTTAGAGATATTTATTTTGATTTGATTACACAACTCATCATCTCATTTTTGCTATTCGGATCAGGACGCTTCTAGTACCCTTTCGTTTTCCTTTCATGCATTCTCTGCGAAGGTATTAAAAATCTCCCACATTGTTTCAACTACCGCTTGCAGATTTCGCCTTCTTTATTTAATGTTGTAGGCTGCAGATTCCCTCATGCAATTTTGGAGGTAACCGAGTTCTGGTATTTTGATAGGTTCAGCTAACAAACTCCAGCAAATTTTTGAGGGAGTTAATTAAATAGACACCATAATTTCTGAGGAGGATGTATTACCGTCACTCTGCTAATCTGCCATATATTTGAGTCATATACCATATATTTATATGACTCAAATAAGAGAACATATACGATGAACAAGATGCAGTACTGCAGACTCACTTAATTTCTAAAGTTCTCAGCACTCTTCGAAAAACAGATTTCTTGCCCCATAATCCAAACTCCTCGGCAAACAAATCGGGGAGAGAGAACTGATTATAGTAGTATGGATTGAATGAGATAGTAATAGCTGAAACCATAGTCCATGTGACTTTACGGCATATCAGCAGCTTAATGGAAAAAAAGAATTTAGTTTTTCTATACCGACTAAAAGCTAATATAAATATCAATTTAAATGCCTACTTATGAGAAAGAAACGCGTGGTTCAACTTCTTATGTAGACTTAGTCAGCAGTCGACTGATAATAAAAACTATGACAGAACAGTTTCGTGTGTGTTGAACAAACGACTGAAAGAAAAAGACCAAATAAGAGTGTTTATCGGGCTCTGCGGCACTTTCAAAATGTCTCCCATAAACGTCACTCACTGCAAATTTTTTTTGATAATTAACACTTTCCCACTATAATAGTTCTGAGATGATCATGTTGGTCAGGGTAGATATTGAGTTTGTTTCAGTGTTCTCTGATGTAAAGCCTTTTGATAACTGTTGCGATAAATGCAATAAAGCCTAGTAACTTTTTGCAACGGTTTTGAGAGATCGCATGAAATGTGCACATCATTCGGAACGTTTTGTCATCCCACATTATTAGGTCGCTTGTAACATTATACCACCGCAATACGCGGTGAAATAAAATGAATTCTGATTGATTATTGAAACCCATTATGTCAGCATGAATGGGTTCAATGTCGATAACCGACTGTCCATGCCAGACTGTAGACGGTTGGTTTTTTACAAACAACGCGTTGTAGCGTAGAAAGAGTGATGTGCAAAACGAGCGTTGGCAGTGCAACGGTTCAGCAAGCGTTCCCGGAAAGAGTGGGATTTGGGTTCGAATCCCGGATGACGCAAATATTTTTGCACACCACTCCTCATTATTGCGTTTTGTCACTTTTCAGCGTTCATGACTTACTTTTTTGAGAGCAGACGTTTAGACTAGATGTTCGATTGTTTTGTCATTTTGAAGGTCTTTCATAGGACATATGGCAACTACACAGCTCGACGAAAAAGTGCGATTTTGGAATTTGCAAACGTCCATCTTTTTGGAATTCATTTGCTTGACCGCTTCTTGCGGCGGTACGATGTTACAATATACGCAATGATGTAGAGTGGTGTGCGAAAACGTTCGCGTCAGCTGGGATTCGAACCCACATTTCACTCTTTCTGGCAGAGCGTGCTAAGCCGTTGCACTACCGGCTTTGAATCCCAACTGACGCAAACGTTTTTGCACGCCACTCTACATCTTGGGTTTATCTTTTTGTTGTCACTAACTGTCTTTCATAGAGTTATAACGATGATTATTACTTAAGAGGAGATTTGATTCCAACGTTTCTAAAGCACTCAAAATCTAAATGACATGAAAAGGAATTTGAAGCGTAATCTTTGCTTGATGCCATTCACTTGATTTACACCACCGAATTCAATCAATTTCTTGATGTACTTTTTGGTTGAAGCTTAGAAGTGACGTCGAAATAGATCCCATTCAAGTTATTTATTGCGAATCTCTGATAATTTTCGTCTATGCAATTCTTCTCCATCACGTTTGAGGTCACTAGTGAGGCAACGATAGTAGCACTTTTTTCGATTAAATGAAGAGATGTCTAATGCGTTTTTCATCTAAATTCATCAGCTGTATGATAAAAAAGGAGCAAATTTGAATTCTTTACCTTGCACATTTCGATGTATTGGGTTGTCCTGAGACTCACTTTGCGACACTTTTGTTAATTCAGTAGCTATTTACTAAAACAGACCATAATCGGCAAAAAATCACCACCGGAGTCAATGAGAGCATCAAAGTCTTTCATAGAAATCAATCATATCATTGAAGTCGTTAAGATCTCTGCTATGGAATGGTATTGACGGTCTGAAAGGAAAGCTGTGTTTAGCAAAAACTCAAATGTGCAACACAACTTTATTTTATTGCTACAGCGCGCTAAGAAATTTCTTTTCGAAAAAACAAGCCCATCATTGGAATTCTCAAGAGTTTACCTATTGAATTCTTATCAAAAACGCGATGACTCAATGCAAATTTTGCGGAATCTCTCCACATGTCATTGCAAAGTATGCACGCCGCATGCGAAATAAATCTTGATTTCAGTGTTGCACCGCAGCAAAAAGTTTTTTTTTTCGGAAAACCAAAACACTATCAAATTTGTCGAAATTTGTGCTGTCAAATAAATTGACACTTTCATACTTATTCATCCGCTTTCTCAGCATTTTTTTATTTTTTCCTCGCGGATTCATGTACTTCTAGCATTTGGATCGTTTTATTCTTCTTTCTCTTGAAAGTAGTAGAAAATCGGTAGAGCGTGGCTCTTCGCAATCTCGAAGATAGCCTGACTATGGCGTTCTATAGAGCGTTTTCGTAGACTGATGAAAAAAGTGGGGGGAGGGGAGTGGAGCTCAGCTCCATGTGTGTCGCAATGTGCGTCAAAACCACTCGGCCAAGGCGTCTCCGCTATCAAATAATCAGTTAATTTTTTGAGGAATGCTTTGCTCAGCCAAAAATGCCTGAATGTGAGATAGATCAATAAGAAACCGTTTCTGAATATGGGTGCGGATAGGAGAAAAACCACGAGCAATATTAGAGCTGTACAATAATGCCGCACCGTAATTCAGCCCAATTTCTCCAAAATGTAGCGAGCCATCTTTGCAGGGTCATCATTCGTTATCCTAGAAAACGGCGATACTGAGTCGTTTGGGACGCTTCTTTTGCAGTGCTGCGATCAGCTAGCGGAGATGTCTTCCGTACATGTTGACATTGATTGTCTGCTTGTTCTCGAACATTTCCGGAAGACAACACACCTTGCATAAGCTAGAAAAGCGAAGCATAATCTCTCGAGCATGGAACTTGCGTTCTGGTTAAGCTGGCGGATTTGGCTGCTGGTATTCTGACCTAGTATTCTATTCCTTGGCTCACTGATAAACTTCAAATTATCCAGCTATTTAGCAATACAACTGACGTGGAATGAAATCAAATAGAGTAATGGTGTGGAATAAATGGGATAACCCATTTCTTGCATTATTTGACTAATGAACAACCACGTGATTTACCAGTTTATTGTGACTGTAGTGCTATTTAAATTATCTGTCATATGAAAGAGTCCGTCTCAGACTTATCACAAATGCTTCAGTTTCTGCCAACAGTCGCAGATGTCGAGAAGAAGTGCGACCCAAATGGACCAAATGCCAACAGTCGAACCGCGCAATTCACCACACTTTGCCACATCGTTCTCGACCAGTTCGCCAAGATAATGTTTGTAGTCTGCACAGAACTTTTTGCCACAAAATGGAGTAGTATGAAAAAGAATGCAAGTCAAATCGAGAGAGATCCTGCTATCGTTAAGGGCCCTCTAAACACTGGCGTTACTGGCACTTCGCGATCCGCTGGCAGCACACATGTTTTTTTAGCCGCCGCCATATTGGTGCAAATTCCCGTCACTGTGTTACTTACAATGATGCAACCCCTTTCCATAGCGTCGACTGCAAGGGGTTATGAGCCTTAAAGGGACACGACCTCTCAAAACCATCGCATCACACCTCGATTTTGTTTATCACTCTCAGATAATGAATTAGAATGATATGAAGAATTAGTCCGAAAATTTCTTCTATTTCAAAAGTCTTGATTTTCTCGTTAATTAGTTCTTCTCACATTTTGCGCCTTTTCCAGTGATTATCAGGAAACTGTTTATTTTCCAAAAGAATGGTAGCACTCCTGCTCTAAATATCTAGTTTAATTAGTTTTGAGTCATTCAGATAGCTCAAAATTGATACTCACGCATAGTGGTCATATCCATTGTACCGACATGAACTTTCGGACACATTAATGGTGAGTAAATAACTGTTACAGTAAGTTGACTCAAAATGGCCGAGATGACAGCATCAGGCAGAAGAACACTACAACCTTGGCTCTCGAGAACTTGAAGGACCTAAATTGCGATTCACAAGTTGAGAAATTTTTCATGGAAATGTTATCAATGAAATTATATGAAGCGATGTAATTCATATCAAAATTTGGGAAGCTGAGCTCACTTGCAACGTTTTTCCAGATATCGAAAAGATGAAGAAGACGAAAGTACTTGTTATTCAATAGTTGTACTTCACCGTCTGCATTACAAGACGTTGTACAAATCCTGCAGCTGCAGCTTCGCTAGTTGCAATACCAGGGACACGAGTCGGAGCATCGGCTGCGGGAAAGTAAACCTTAACAACAGGCAAAGTGAAGCCAATGACGGTGAAGTTCCTTGTGCTCACTGCAACAAAATCACATGGTTTCTCTGATGATAGTTCAAGAATTCATAACTAAGCAATTGAAGCACAATATTGAGTGATTTTTACATCTTCTAGAATTCAAATTGTCCCTTCATAGAACTCGAATTGTAGGAGCCAGAAAGTACTGCCATAATAGAGATTGGTATATCTCAAGTACCATAAGAAACTTGCAATCATTACTTTGACCAGCAGGCATCACTCCACATCCAAGAACTGTTGAGATTGTGGCCAACAGAGAAATAATATAGAGATTGGCTGGAAGTCTCACGATGCTTATAAATGTATCCATTTTCCCTAAAAACTCAAGCAGATAATGTATACGCAACCGTAGGCAAATTTACCACTTTTTGCATTAGACAAATCGCAAAATAGCGTGTATCTGGCACTTAGTACTTATAAGGAAGTGACATCGTTTTAGCAGCTCTTTGAGCTCTCCAAGAGCTTCAGCAGTTCCTAAGTCACTCAGTCCAATGCCAAATCTTTCCAAGCTTATTTTGTGACAGATTCTTTCGAATCACGGAGATGACCGGCTCAGTGAATTGAATTTCAAATGTTGGAAAGCAATAAGCTGCGGGAGAAATGAGCCGTACAGAAATTTCACTGAAAGCGCCCGTTTCTCAAGTGGTGTTACTTAAGCTCCGTTTCCACCTTCTCCTTACTGATGCTGTGACACAAAGATAAATATCGACAAAACGCCGAAATCACGAGTGCACTTCTAGAACGTTTTCCATAAATACAGGTAATGATCAAAGAAAGCACAGCACAACTTCCGCAGAGAGAAACCAATTGATACTCAAAACAGGAACTTCTAGAAAATTTACGAGATTATCACAGCAGTTGAGAAACGATATCTCACCAAATAATCAATATTATCAAGAAGCAAGAGAGAAACCGTGCCAGAATTTGCCGCTTTAGAAGCAACTGCATGAAGCATCAGATGCTGTCGTAAGGTATAAAAATTCTACACCTTGACGAAATTACTGATGTATCGAAATGGAAAAGTGCAGATGACGCTGTTGAGGACGCAGGTAAATTCACGCTAAACATAGGCTTTCTTGCTCAGTTTTCTAAGCATCTCAAGTTTCTCATTAAATGATGTTTATAGAATGCTTACAAAGTTATCGGAACTTCTTCTCGATCTGCAGACGAACCAAAACTCAGAACTCGTCCCTACTCTTACTTTTGTAGTGGTTGCAGTAGTGAATGCCCCGTCGAATGCTATGTGTTAGTATACCTGCCACGCGGATTAATTTATTAGGAATAACAGCTAAAATAAACAATAATTACATATAATACATCCATATCCGCCAACCAATCCAATTGGCGGTTCAAAGGCATACTACACAACAGTCGTTAAATCAATACACTGTAGTGGCTCGACTAGTAGCTATTTCGTAGCATGAGTAGTATGTCAGCGTGGGTCGAATACATGAGGACAAAGAGCGAGAGTTGACCATATATAACTTAGAAGGTTTGCAAACGTCAATCAGGAAACGGGGGAACCAGGGAGGCTATCGTGGTCGCCTCGGAATTACGAAACCCCAGGGCGGTATGCCGGGTCGACGATGTGTGAGTATCATAGTCGTCATAAGTCATATAAGTCTCACACTGTATGTTCGAGATCGTCTCACGAGCCCGCTTCCCATCCCTAGAGGTGAGTCGCCCACGACCCCCACCACTGGGCACGTCTCCGTGACCTGGGTTTGCAATTACAATCTCTAGTGCAACATCGAGCAATCAATCATCAAGTAAAAGATGGTGAACACAATTACGTCTTATGGACAAAGTCAGCAATCAGCAACTGAACTGGGCCACATCGAGTCATAAATAATAATCGTAGGTGATCGATAAGCTAAAGGGAGAAGGAAACGAATACGAAGACGAAAGGTAACCCGGCGGCCGCACGGACCAGTTGAAGGCGCTCGA